TTTATTCAAGTATTATTCCTTCTCCCCTCTCTATTTAATATGTGGTTGGTTTTTTGCGCAGAAAAAAAGACTTGCGCCCATAGGTTGGTTGAGGATGTGAGATTGTTAGGGTAAAAAAAAAAAAAAAAATTCTGGATACACTGCACAGCTCCCTTGGTACCCCAGCACACAAAATCAGGGCTTGCTGCTGAAATCAGCAGGAGCTGGCCCAGGCTTTTGAAATGTGGCACCTGGGAGGCATGTTGCACAGAGGGAGCAAGAGTGAGGGCAGGTCCAGCCTGAGGAATGTGGGATATTTAAAAAAAAAAAAAAAAAAATCTCTTCTTTTAGATAGTTTTCTCACCTCTTATCTGCTGAGTTTACTTTGGCGTGACAGCCAGACAGATGATGGGTGGCTCTTCTGTCCCCTTCTGGGCACCAGTGCTGTAACTCTTCCTTGTGGCCTTAATTTGGTTCCTTTAGCCGTTGGATTTTTTTTTTTTTTATTAGTAGGGGAAGGAAATCCCATGTGCTTTGCGTGCTCTCTGGATACCTCTCGGTCTGTTTGCCCTTCCCAGATCTCCTGGGATCTGGGATGATTTCTCATCCTTCCCAGATGAGAAAAATCTACCCCAACCCACCGCCCTGTCTCCATCCCCGGGAGCCCCTCGCAGCCCCACACCGCTCTGCCGCCGTCGCCTGGTCCCACCTGCGGGCAGCTGGGATGGGCAGGCAGAGCTCTCCGCCCAGACCATAATTAAGCTGCGTTTTTATGGCCCTGCCACCAGCCACTCACTCCCTGCATTCCTTTCCCCTGAGTTCTCTGGCCTCACCGGGCAGATTGAAGGGTGGGTGAGAAATCCCCCGGAGGGTCTCGCGTATCGGGGCTGTCTCTGCCTTCGCCGGGAGGGCTCTTGGCGTGTCACGTCGGGGTGGCGTGAAAGACGTCTGGCTAATCCAAATTCCATTAGGCATCGTTAAGATCTTCCTTTCCCATATTTAAAGCGCTTGGCTTTGTGCCTTGGCCTTTGGTGTGTGCAGCACCCTGTGAGAAGCAATTCTGTAGGGCAAACCCTGGAGAGGAGCAGGGATGCTGCCACGTTACATGGTCCATGGGGCATGCGGTCCAGATAGACCAGAGGCATCCCATGATGCTGGGACCAGGCTGTGGAGGACTAAAAAAAAATTCCAAAACTGCATTCCCAGTCCTGCAACCTCAGCAACTTCCTCCAAACTGAAAGAGGAATTTACTTTCTAAAGGATTTATGGCGGGAGAAGCGATTCACCTGGGCAGCCCGGCAGCTGCCTTGTCTGCATTTTGGCCGTGCCATTCGGGTGAACTGGAGAGGAGTTTCTCTTCACCTGCCAGGCCGTCACCAAGCCATGCCTCTGGATTATTTCCAGATGTTTCACATGGACCCTCTTTACAACAACAACAAAAACATTCCAGCTTAAAACAGGTTTATGAGGAAAAAGTCACTCTTGGATATCTGGTTTTAAATGCCGGTGGGTCTGCAGTCCTCGGGCCCTGCTTGTCCTCAGTGAAAACAGTTAGTTGGTTGCATTTGCATGTTTATCAGCTAAAAAGCTAGCAAAAGTTTTTGGAAAGTGCTCTCTGTGGGTGGAGATCTTGGTGCACACCTGGTATTTCAGCACAACAACTGTATCTAAAGTGCGCTGCTGCGAGGACTGGACCAAAGTCCTTGGCCATCCTCTGGCTTTCCACAGAATTGGCCAAACTGCAGGAATGAGAGGTTGTGTTTCTCTTGAATTCCCGTCCCCCCCCCCAAAATGGGGAAACTGAGGCACAGAGGTCCTGCAGGGAGCCCGGGGCAGCTGCTGGTTCCTTGATCACTTTGCAGCCATCAGGATGTTCTCCTCTTGCCATGGCTGTCAAGCTGTCACTCCTGTCCCCCAGTTTGGGTGGCACCAGGGTGAATTTGGGTCAGCATGGCTTAGCTGGGGCAGTCGTCTCTTGCCTGTGGGCAGCCACAGAGCCACCCACCATGCCCCCTGCTCTGACATGTGCTCAGTCAGCAGATCCCATTGCAAAAATGAGTCAGGGGATTTGCCTGCTCATGTTTTTGGTTGTCCATGCTTATGAGAGGGATGCACAGGAGATACTGCAGAGATGGTGGTGCACGGGGAGCAGAGGCTTTGGGTTTCTTCTAGCTGCTGAAGGACTTGGGGAAAGGTTGAGTCAAGAGCAAGTGCCTTGTAGGGTTGATACAAGATGAGCTGGAGGATTAACGGCTGCTCATGTTGTGCTTTTTCCTCCTCCTCGCAGCCTGTGGGCCACAGCTTGCCAATTCCCCCACTGTGATAGTGATGGTTGGCCTCCCAGCCCGTGGGAAGACCTACATCTCCAAGAAGCTGACTCGCTACCTCAACTGGATTGGTGTCCCAACAAAAGGTGAGGCTTTCACTGTCTGCCTGGGGAAAGCATGAGGTCTGGGTTCTTGGGAGATGCTCAAGGAGCTTAGTCCCTTGGTGAGTGGAAGGTGGTGGAGGATGTTTTCAAGTTCCCATGGGCCAAATATCCATGTCCTCCCATCGCTTCTGCTGCAGCTTAGGTTCTCCTTCACTTTGAAGACCAACATATGTCCCTGAGCCTTTTGCTCTAGGATGTCACTTCTTGGTCCATTGCTGGAAAGCGTTATCTGGAGGAGCTGCACAGCTGAGTCGAGCTGCACTGACACTGCTCCTGGTTTTGATGGTCTTTGCTTTTCCCATGCAGTTTTCAACGTGGGCGAGTATCGCCGTGAGGCTGTGAAGCATTACAGCTCCTATGACTTCTTCCGCCCCGACAATGAGGAGGCCATGAAAGTCAGGAGGTATGTGGGCACCGCATCTGTGCTCATACCCAAGTCCCAAATGGGTGGTGAAGCCCATGGCTGGAAGTGGAGTTGCCCAGCTTGTTTTGGGGGGTGGTGGACAGAAAAGCTGAGCTCTAGCTTGATGTTTCCCTGTCTGCCTAAGGAGGGCCTGACTTGGGCACCAAAAGCTGAAAATGGAAGTTGTCACAGCTTGGTAGCTTCAAGATCACCAACACATCCTCCATCAGTAGTACCTTGAACTCACCTTCAGGCTCAGCAATATAGGGTACGAGGTTTGCCATGAGGTTTGGCCTTCACTTCTTCATCTACCATTGCCTCTGCCGTGAAGACCAGCGTGCTGCTCAGCGTGCATGGCTCTTGTATTTGTGGCAGCCTGATGGTGTCTCTCCTAAAACGTCCCTGGGAGAAGGGGAGGAGGAGGCACAAAGCCTGCCCTCCTTTGCAGAGGTCTGTGTGCTGACTGCTGTGAGCATCTCAGAGTACATCAGGACCACGTGTCTCTCTCCTCTTTTGTAGGCAATGTGCCCTGGCTGCCTTGAGGGACGTCAAGCTGTACCTGACGGAGGAGGCTGGCCAGATTGCGGTAAGCTCAGAGATGTGCTCCATGGGGTTTGGCAGCAGTCCTCGTCCCGAAGGCACTGTGCCCCGTGCAGTTCTCTCTGCAGTTCCTTCTCTGAGGAAGGGCTCAGTGGGAAACCAGGCTCTCTGGGTGCTCATCGGGATCTCTGCCCTTAAAGGTTTTTGATGCCACCAATACCACGCGGGAGAGGAGAGGGATGATCCTAAACTTTGCCAAAGAAAACGGGTTCAAGGTTGGTACCATCAGGCTATGCCTGTATTGTGTAGTCTACGTTAGTGTGTTGTTGGCATTTTTTTTTTTCCACTAACGTGTTGTCCTCATAATGCCCCTGTGTAAGGGGGATTTCGCTGCTGGGTTTGATCAAAAATACGAAACTCTTCCCTTGTTCCCAATCCCGAGCCCTGGAGAAGGGAAGGATGGGAGTGGGGCAGAGGCAGAGCTCTCTGGTCAAGGAAGGGAGGAGGTTGGGTTGAGCAAGCAGCTGATTGAGTGCTGCAAACCTTATTGCTGGCCTTCAGGTGAGCTTTGTTTTGGTCCTCAGGTGTTCTTCATTGAATCTGTCTGCAATGATCCCACAGTAGTTGCCACCAATGTTATGGTAAGCATGCAAATGTCTTGCTTTTGTTTTCCCTCGTGGGAGATTATCCACCTGTGCTCAGCCACTTTCTTACGGAATGTCTTGACAGAGCTGGTTGAGGATTAGGAGTTTTTTATCTTTCTATGGTGTATTTGTCCCTGGGATGAGAAAGGAGCTGTTACCTCCCAGGACACAGGCCACCTGGACATAATGAAAGAAAAGTCGATGTAGCCTTTGCCCCATTCCTTTCCACACTCTCTGCATTTCTGTTAGCCTGTAACTTGGTATCAAGGAGAGAAATGTATTCAAGATGGTTTGGACCCCCGCAAAGTCCCGTTTTTTAGAAGTGATGGGTGTGGTTAGGGATGTAAATCCCGTTGGAGAGCAGTCTGACTTGGTGTCTTCAGCCATGTGCAGCTTCCCAAAAATCTACTGGGGTCTGCTTTGTGAAGAATAGCAGCTCAGCTTAGAGGTTTCTTGCCGGTAGCTGAAATCCTGGCTGGGAAAGTAGCATAAAACATTGCTTCCTGCTCCTTGTGGAGCTGCTGGATCTTTGATTTCCCACCAGCAGAAGAGATCCTTTGCCCGTTAGGCTTGGCTGGGGCAGGTAGATGTTAATTGGCCTACCTAGGCATGATTAACTTGAAGGAAAGTGTCGTTTCCTCCACTGGGCTCTGCTCCAGCCTTATCTCCAGTTGTACATCTGAACTTTGCGAGCCATTTTATGGTGTCTGGGAATGCGTTGCAGGGTACCCAAAGTCTGCAGGAAGGGTTTTGCTGGGTTTTATTTTGCCCCCGGGACGGGCTCCAAAAGGGTGCTGTGGTGGCAGCGAGAGCATGGCTTTTGCTCCTGCTGGGAGCTGGTGTCCCATGGCCAGTGATCAGCTTTTTGGGAGGTTGCACACAGCCTTTTCCATGATGCTAATAAAACGCTCGATTTGCTCCATCTTTTTATTTCTTTCCTCTTTTTTTTTTTTCTTTGCAACTCCCTGAAGTTGGATTTTTGGGAGGATTTAATCCCTTTCTTTGGAAACTAATGCTTGAAGGGGGAAAAAATGAACTACTAGTGGAGCGTAGGTTTTTGCTCCACGAGGCGCTGCACATGAAAGGTGCTCTTAGTGCTGGGATCGGTGCAGAAAATATGCTGCAGGCCTGGGGTGCTGCCACATGTGTCACTCGGTTGTGTTATCCTGGTGGTTTCAGGATGGTCCGTGAAGTCACTAATATGTAACGCTGCTGCTCATACCCAGATCTTCAGGGAAAGTAGCCTGCTAGAGTAGTTCAGGCAGAGTTTAGTCCATAGGAGTTCTGGATCTTCACGTTGCCCCTTTCTAGCATCTTTCAGCCCAGTAGCTTGTAGCAAATAATGCACAGAAAGGGGTTGAATGTTGTTATCCTGCTGCCTCGGATGGTGGACAGCCAAGTTGACCTCTACCTCCTGGGAGCTTTATTCACTCAAAAGGCCCGGGATAAGCATCTTGTCTAAGCTCATGCACTTTCCATCCTCAGCTTGAACTGTTTAAACCTAATGCTTTTCTTTAGCCATAAAAAAAAAAAGCTCAGTTTTCCCACTGTGGTGGGTGGTGAGGTGCTACCCCAACTCTTGGGAGAACAGGCGTGGACTGATGTGCATCTATACTGGTCATGCAATAGTTTATACCAGATTTTCTCACTTTGTGCTTAGCTTTGGGTCTCGTTTGCTTCTTTTCTGTGTTATGATACTATAAAGTGTCTCAGCTGATACCTGGATCTTGGCAGGACTTTGAAATTTGTAATTGGCATGGCCTGGCTTGGAAAGAAAGCTTCCTAACCTCTCCTTGCGGTGTGTTTTCCCTCCTGTTGCAGGAAGTAAAATTGTCCAGCCCTGATTACCGGGACTGTAATTCGACCGATGCCATGGAGGACTTCATGAAGAGGATCAATTGTTACCAAGCCAGCTACCAGCCGCTCGACCCTGATGACTATGACCGGTAAGAAACTTTTGCTGACTTCTAAACTGGCTTGAATGCCTTTCTACTCCCGAGAGAGGAGTAATGAAGTTTGTAGAACATGTTTCACTTTGTGTTCAAGTTCGTGACTGTGTAAGAATAACGTATGGCCCAGCCTCACCGTGAGTTCAGGCTTCTTCCTTGAAAATGCTGGTTTTCCCTAACCCTGTGCCAGGGAGCCAGGCACTGAAACCTTCCCAGGCTCTTCTGAGCTTAGATACACCGGTTCTGCAGGTCTAAATACAAAGGCCATGGAAAAGCAGTTCAGTTTGAGTGTTTCTGAGGTGCTTTTGTCAGTTAAAGGAAGGGACTACTTGAACAGGCTCAGACCACAAGGTTGAGCAAGCCCTGTGGTTTCCACCTAGTTGTGTGCCCTAGGATGACCTTTGCTGTCCTGCATGACCATGCAGGCGCCTCCCAGCCTTTCCACTGCTCACAAATAGGTCTGTGTGCCCTGCATGGATTATCCCAGTCCTGCTGAGCCCTGTCCTGGGGAGGAACATGCTCTCTGCTAGCCCTGTTTAATCCTCTTTACTGCTGCAAGGAGGAATAGTGATTACATTGGTGTTACTTGGCTCTCCATGAATTGCCGTTACCTGTCAGCTTCCTGTTGAAAATAGCCTCCAGGAAATCCTTTTAAAAGGGTGATTATGTTGACTGATACATGTCACAAGGCTGTTTTTTGAGGATGATGTTTCTTTCTGCTTTCTCCACTGGCAACCCCCTTGCTCTGCTTTCCCTAGGGAGCTTTCTCTCATCAAAGTCATAGACGTTGGCCGGCGGTTCCTGGTCAACAGGGTTCAGGATCACATCCAGAGCAGGATCGTTTACTACCTGATGAACATCCATGTCCAGCCCCGCACCATCTATCTCTGTCGGCATGGTGAAAGTGAGTTCAACCTCAAGGGGAAGATTGGAGGTGACTCGGGCCTCTCCAACAGGGGCAAGAAGGTAAAGAGAAGGGAATATTCCTTTATGGTTTTTAGGAATTATTTGGCTGTAGTAGATGCCATGCATTAGGCTAAGCGTATATTTGGTGACAGCTGGGGTGCTCAGAGGATCCATCTACGAGGATGGTCAAATATGGGCTTGGGCATGGCCTCAAAACAAGACTTTCCAGCCATCAATGTTGCATGTAGGCTTGCATATAGTTAGGAGTTAATAGAGGCCGGGCTGCAGAAATCTCTAGGAGAGAAGGCTTTGAATATCTTCATCAAGTTCATCCAGACCCTGCACAGGCAGGGCGGGATGTAGAAGGACTGCTGCCACCCTTTGGTAGGGACAGCCGGCTCTGAGGGTGCTTTCAGGTTGCTCACTACTTGATTCTTCAAAGACATGGTCAAACATGCTGCTTCAGGGAGGGTTAATAGCTATTTTGGCTTGACAGACCATTTTGAAGTCCAAATGGAGTCATCTGAGGTGTGACTATTATCAAGGACTACAGGATGCATTGATTTAGCTCTATGGCAAATAAGCAGAGCCATGGTTAAGGGTGGCCAGGGGTCTTCCGTAGCATTGTAGCAGAGCCCAGGTTGTGGTGCTGTTTCTTGGATGCTGATGTTGTTCCTTGATGACATTGGGTTGCTGCTTTCTCCTCTGCTTTCTCTCTGTTCTCATACCCCTCATAGCTTTTGGGGATCAATGTGTGGCTGCTCTTCACCTCAGAGCAGAAGGCTAGTACGTCTGTATGGAAGGCAAAAGAGGTCCTGAAGAAGGCAACATTTACTGGGAAGCAGGGAAGACCACCCATTGGGAAGCTGTGGATCGGGAATCAACCTCTGTTTTTTCATGTCCCGCAGTTTGCACTGGCACTGAACAAATTCGTTGAGGAGCAGAACCTGAAGGACCTCAAAGTCTGGACCAGCCAGCTAAAGAGGACAATCCAAACGGCAGAAGCTCTCCAACTGCCCTATGAGCAGTGGAAGGCACTTAATGAAATAGATGCTGTGAGTATCTTTGATTGCAGTAGGAACAGCTAGATCATGCTGGCTGCTGCTTGGCAGAGAGAGTGGTTGCACCGGCCTTTTCACTTTTGCCTAAATCTCACTTTTTGCGGGGATACTTTCCTTCTGTGGGAAAGTGTACTTTTTCTGCTGCAGTAATCACAACTTGGCTTCTGATCTTAGCTCTACCTTGTGCAGATGCTTCAAGATGTTGGCTTGAATGAGTAGATTAAAATGATTTTTTGCTCGGAAATGCTCTGTAGGTGACCACTCAGAAGGTTATAGACAATTGCTTTGGAGAAGGTTTTGCCTGTTGGGTGTGCTGATGCTTTTTGAGCATGTCCAGTAACCTTATGGATGTCCTGTTCTGGCAGGGTGTATGTGAAGAAATGACGTATGAAGAAATCAGGGAGCAGCATCCAGAGGAATTTGCTTTACGTGATCAGGATAAATATTACTACCGCTACCCTTCTGGGGAGGTAAGTCTGCAAGGAGACCTTCAGAGATGTGACTCTTACTTTAAACACGGCGTTTTTGTCTTCGTGCTGTCCTCTACACTCGGAGCAAGGGAGCAGCACGTGCTCCAAGAAACTAGAATCAAGAAAGGTCAGGGTTCATATTTAGCTTTTGCATTGAGCTCTTGTGAAATCGTGGTACGTGAAAATCTCATTAAGAAATGTATCCCTTAATAATAGTCCCACTAAATTGATAGCAAACTAGGAGGATGGTGGCTCTGGAGGTTTCTAGTCCAACCTCCTCCATTACACCCACTCAGTGTTGTGCTGCCCGGATTTCCTTTTCTTGCATTTCCAGAGAAGTAATTTCTACTTCTTGAGTTGATACTGATATCTGTTTCTGGCATGGGGAACACGATCTGCTTTTGGAGAGTGACACATTGAGGTGGGAATTGACATAAATTCTGGATGATGCTTTAGGTTGCAAATCGGGCTTTTTATCCCCATATTAAAAGTCATGTCCATAGACATTTGTGAAAAATAAATGTTTGGAGACATCCTAATGACAGCTGTGTAGTAGAAGAATGTTTGGCGATGTCTGACGCTGACTCTGGGTGTCTGTGGTTCCTTCTGCCTGCCTGTCATGGTTCTTTGAGGTCTTTCAAAACCCTGGAGATTTTCAGGTTGCCTCAGACTTTTCAGAACTTAGAAATCCTGTAGAAAATCAAATTTCAAGATGATAGAGAGACACTATGATCAAAGACCCTGTGCCGTTGTTGCTTACCTTAATAAACTCTCCAGGACTGTAACTGAGATGTGAATGGCTGCTTTCTTCTCTGACCAGAAGAAGTAGCTGTGTTCTAGAGTAGCCTGAAGATGAGGATTTGTTGAACTTTGCTTGTTTTTAGCAGTAATTATGTTGATTTGATTTGAGGCATGAAATCAATAGATGGACAAAGACAATGACCGTTGTTTCTTGTGAGGTCGTCTTCGTTTCCTTGATTCTATGCCATACCTCCCTTCCCTTCTTCTGTCTCAGTCCTACCAAGATCTGGTGCAGCGCCTAGAGCCAGTCATCATGGAGCTGGAGAGACAAGAGAACGTCCTTGTGATCTGTCACCAGGCTGTCATGCGCTGTCTCCTGGCGTACTTCCTGGACAAGAGTGCAGGTGAGCTCCCTGTCCCTGGGAAGGGCATCCATCCTGCTGGAGGAGGGATGATAGACGTTGCTCTGAGGAGGTGAGGGATGTGTTCAGGTCCACGCAGGGCCTGGAGCATGCATCTCTGGTACGGGATGGCCTCAGCTGCTGCGGAAGGTGTCTGAGCCTGCTTTTGGAGAGGGGGTGGGATGACCCTCCTGCATTGCTTTCTCTGCAGATGAAATGCCCTACCTGAAGTGTCCCCTTCACACAGTGTTGAAGCTGACCCCAGTGGCCTATGGTAAGTGGGGCCTTGCTGCTAAATACGCCAAGGGGTTTGACTTGTACCTCCTCCTGAGTCCAAGCTGCCCCTGGGAGAAGAGCAGGGGTCTGGGACAGTACCTTGTAGCATCCTCTGCCTGTTAGGTTTGCTGATGGCTGCTCCGTCTCCTTGTGCTTCCTCCGACAGGCTGCCGGGTGGAGTCCATCTCGCTGAACATCGAAGCCGTCAACACCCACAGGGAGCGGCCAGAGGTGAGTGTTGCTTCTCCTCAGAGCTATCCCTCGGTGTCCCCCACCTTTCCCCTGTGGCCAGCTGGCAGCGAGGACGCCCGGGTCAGGCATGGGGAGGTTGCTCAGCTAGATGCTCGGAGTGCTGCTGGAGGACGGGGGTGTCAGGTGGGTTCTTGCTCTGCAAAGACGTGGCCGGTCGAGGGTTTTCCGAGGGAAAAGGACTGTTGCACGTGCCTGCTTCCCACTGTGCTGGCCCAGGGAAACCTCCTCCCTGGCCTTTGGTTTTCGCCTGTGCTGTCGTCTGCTCGCCCCAGCAGGGAATGGAGCCATGGACGGAGAAGGTGACTTCTCCCAGGTCTCCCAGCTGGCTAGCAGAGCCAGTCCAACATCTGCCTTTGTGTTGGGTTTTTTTCCGGCATACCCATGGCTCTGGGGGGCTACCGGAGTGCTGTTGTGGAGGGTGGTGGCGCTGGGCTGGGGATGCTGCAGGGAGGAGACCCCTTGTGCGGAGGAAAACTCCCGTAAGGTCAGGTCCATCTGCCCCGTGCTCCACCGGGAGCTCAGAGGCCAGAGCAGGGGGGCACCAGCTCGGTGTCGGGGCTGGGCGGCCACCGAAGGGGACCCCAGGGACCCTGGCAGTGCCCACGTCCCATCCGCTGGGACCTTTCCAACTTGCTTGTAGCGGTGATGGAGCCCGTCTGGATGGGGGGCGGGTGGAGCCATCCCCTTTTGGCTCACATCTCCTTTTCTTGGCTTCCCGACCAAAGCGGGCGGCAGCACCTGAGCTGCCTCTCCCTCCCTGCGGCCATAGCGGGGAAGCCAGTCCTTCCCCATGCCGCGGGGCCCATCGATGCCCTTCCCCACCACCCTCCCCGGGGCTGGCAGGAGAGCCGGGGGCTGCGGGTACGATGGCGCAAGACACGTGCGAGAAGCGCTGGGGTCCCTCGCTCGGCTGCGCGGACACTGCCCCTCCATCCCACCTCGCTTCAGTTGGCGCTTAGCACGGTGCCGACCCTCGCTGGCTGCTCTGTCCCCACTTCCCAAACCCCCCTTATCAGCCTGGGCTGGCTTGTCTTCCCTCTCCTTGCTTCCACACCCCTCCCTGGGTTAGAGGGACCGGCTTCGAGGAGGAGACCGATGGGCACCTCTCTCTGTCCCGTAAAGTCATGGCTTTTGGTTACTGCTATGGTTTTTTTAGCAATCTGTATTTACGTTTTTGTGAGTGGAGGCTCAGGTGAGGAGAAGGTCTGTCTCGTTTCGGAGTGCAGGGCTTTTTTGTGGGGTTTTTTTTTGTTCCCCTCCCCTTCTTGGGAAATCGCACTGCGTTCTTGAATGTTTTGCACTAGGGGGTTTTTGCGGTGTCCAGAGCCTTTCAATTTATACTTTGCTCGTCAACAGTGATTGGGGGAAAAGCAGAGGCCGCTTTAAGAAAAGAACCCAAAACGCACCCTGCTTCTTTTTTTTTTTTTCTTCATAACTCTCGCCTTCTTCCCTTTTTATTATTTTCTTTTATTTTCTTTTATTTTTTTATTTACTTTTTTTTTTTTTTCTTTGTCTCACTCTAATTTAGGAAGCAAAGAAGGGACCTAACCCGCTCATGAGACGTAATAGCGTTACCCCTCTAGCAAGCCCAGAGCCCACCAAAAAACCTCGCATCAACAGCTTTGAGGAGCATGTGGCTGTTTCTTCTGCCTTGCCAGGCTGTGTTCCTCAGGAAGTGCCCACGCAGCTGCCGGGACAAGTTAGTTGAACTCTTGTGTTGGTTTTTTTTGTTTTGTTTTTGTTGTTATTCTTGTTGTTTTATTGTTTGTTGTCCTCCTCCTGTCGCTCCTGAAGCTGGGGAACGGCTTGCACTTGTCGCAACCTGTGCTGCATCTTTCTCCCACGGCTGCTGTCCCTCCCTGCCTCGGGTTGGTTTTGGGAGCACCTGGCGAAGGGTCGCTGTCAGTCCTCTCTTGGGTTTTGAGGGCATTGTAAAGTCCGCCCAAAGCTCTAGGATGCATTAATTTAGTGCCTTCACCATCTGACATCGTGGTGTCAACCTCCTGAGGAGCCACATCTCTAGAGCGGGCAGGACCGAAGGGCTCGTGCCTTCCCCCTGGATGCTCTCAGCTCCAGCGTAGACCTTGGCATTGCGCAAATGTTCTTGTGCTTCCCTCGAGAAGGAGCTGCCAGGACTCATCTTTGGCTGGAGGGATCTCCTCCTTCCTGGGACAATAGGCAAAACAGACGAGAAATTAGTAGAAGCCTCTTGGCATGGTGAACCCAGTTGCCTTCTGCAGCCCTAGGTGAAACCCGGTGGGTAGCTGCTGTGATGCACATGTGTCCTCTCCTCTCTCACCCGCCCATGAAAGGATGTAGAGAGACCTTGCTTGCTGCACTTCTCCAGGAACAACCCCCTCCCCTGTGCTCATTAAGGAGCTGGGGTGGTACCAGCGAAGCAACCGTAGATACATAGGAGCCCCTTCGCCGTGCTGCCCTTCCCGCCAGCTGCCTGTTGGATCCCGCTGTCTCGCCTGGCCCCTCTTCACGTTGTCTGTGGTGTTTGGTGTCCTCTCACCCCAGCTTGGCCAGGTCTGGGGCAGGTTAGGAAGCGTGCCGTGCTCCTCCAACCGCTCTGCTTGGTGGCTGCTTTGCATGAGCCTTCCCCACCCCAGCAAGTACCGAGTGGGGCCGCTCGGTCTGTCTCTTGGCTTTCGGGGCTCCGCTTGGGCTGATTGAGTCTCGCAACAAACCCTCTGCTGGCTTTGGGTTTGGAAGCGCCCGCTGTTGGCGTGCCCCTCGCTGCCGTCTGGTGTCCTCTGCCCGGTCTCGCGCGGCGTTACTGACACCTCTTTCCGTTCTCTCTGTCTCTCTGCAGCCTTTACTAGGGAAGGCATGCCTGTAAGTACCTTCTCGCGTCTTATCCCCCTCCTCTTGCCATCCCACCGGTTGTTTTGTTGTTGCTGTGAAACCCGGCCGGCTTGTGGACTTCTTGGAGTTGATATTTCTCTGTGTGGGAGGGATTTGCGTATGTCTTAGGAAGGGTAAAGAGGAGACTATGGATGCTGCTTTGTCCAACCCCTAAGTATCCTAGCTTGATTAAATGTCCCAATTTTGTTGAGAAATGAAGCAAATTATCACTTGCCCTGTATCGATGATGTCTGAATTCCCTGCCTCCTCCTTGGACAGTCACGGGATGGGAGATGCTGTTGGTGATAAACCCAGGTGCTCTGTCCTTCCCAGGGAGCTCCGAGCTGTGTCTATGTGTGATGGCACCAGAGAGGTATCAGAGAAGGTTCTGACCTTGGCCTCCAACAGGGTTTTATCACTTGCTTGGCAGCAGAAGTGTGTTTTCGGGAGCTGGACTGATCCCGGGTCCTGGCATTCTGCAGTTTTGCAAACCTGGATTTTGGGAACAGTGTGCCTAGATGTCTTGGGCGGAGTAGATGAAAGGATATTGTCCTCCTCTACCTCTATTAAGCAGGATGCCTTGAGCATTTAGTGGGCTAATTATGAATAATCAAGGCTTTAGCAGTTTGGCTCAGTGCTGTTAGATCCAAAAGGCACAGGACAGCTTCTGGATAAATTGGAAGCCTTTGGACTTAATTCATGCTACATCATTGAGTTAAGAGATCAGTAGTCATTGAGCTGTGCTGAAATGTCTTCTCAAAGACTAGGGAGACTTTGGGGCTGAGCTGAGGCTGGGGTAGTGCCCAGGGGTCTTTTTGCCCTCTATAGACCAGTTTGAATCAGCCTACGGGCATCCTTGCCCTGGTTGATTTTTGTGGGCTGAAGATGGAGGGATCTGCTATAACATGTCCAGGCCTCAGCCCTGCTTGCACGTAACAGCTGGTGAACCTCACATCACTTGCCCTTTGAGAGTACATGTTTTTGGGAAAAGGGAAGTTGGGAAGGTCACACTTGGCTTTGCTGGTGGATGAGTTGGGGAAGATCATCACCGCTCATGCTCCTGTGTGAATGTAGATGTTGAGTTGCTCAGTGTGGCCTGCATGTCTGTGCTCCTTCCCTTGCTGCTCATGGGCACAAAAGCCCCCGGTGAAGTATCTGGTCTTCTTGGGTTGCTTTGAAACCATTTTTATTTTGTCCATCCCTCCATCCACCTTTTTCCCATCCATGCTGTAATAAAAAGCGCTGCATGCCTCAGTGCTGGCTGGGACACCGAAAACACGCTCCGATGTTGAGTTTGGGAGATGGCTGCATCAAGTTTCCTTAGACCAGGAGCTCTGCTGGAGGAGGCGGTGGTGGCTACCCACTTGGCAGCAGCAAGTTTAAAATTTCCAGCTGCTGGGAGCCTGCCTGCACCTACTAGTGGGTGACTTAAAGGCTGCTTTTGAGGGACCTGTGAAGGCACCTCAGACCAAAGGCTGGGTGGCGTTCATGCTGCTGTTACCTCTTGGAGGCTGTTGTCTTGTACGTGCATGTGTTTTGTCCCTCACTGTGTCCCACCGCAACCTGCATGGGGTCAGGGGAGGTGGAAGGTACCTCCTTCCTAATTTGCACCACGAGACTTGGTTGGCAGTGGGCGCTTTGTTGCATCAGCCTTCACTGTTGGGGTCTTGACCCCCATCCAGGAGGACCAAGGGACACCTGGAGAGGCTGGGAACATGGCTGTGTACCTTAGAGTCCTCCTGGCTGTGGGATCAAGCTGGTTTGGGGTTGTGGGACTACCTGCTGTGATGATTTCTTTTCCTTTTGCTTGGTTTGTGATCCAAAGTGCACTTTTTAACGACCTGATCCCCTCCCTTCTTCTCCCCTTCACTTTTCATGCTAAAAGACGACCCGTTTGTCACTTTCTCAAAGTTTTCTCTTTACTAATATTTCCAAGGTAAATGGCTGTGGTACATGTGGCTTTTCCTGACCCTCCTCCTGTCTCCTTAGATAACAGAGAGGACAGCTCAGCCCGCTCTGCCTCATAGCCTGGCCAGCATTCCTGGTGCTTGTAAGAGGCAGTTTAGGTAGTAAAAAAAGAAAAAAAATTGTTGAGAAACCTTCCTAGCTGTCCCTTTTTTCCCCACCCCGTTTCGTGTAGTTTTGTGAATTGGGAAATGTTCTTGTTGTGATCATCTCCCCTTGGCTTTCTTCTCTAGCGGATGCTGGTCCTGCTTGTGTTTAGCTGGTTGGTTGTCTCTGGTTTTGTGGCCCTCACCATGTGCTGGTGGGTGCCTGTTGTCACCACCCCGCACCAGGGCTGTGTCTGAAGCAGCTCTAGATGGGACATCATCAGGGGAGCGGGTGCTCCTGCCATACTGCTGGTGGTGGCTGGTCCCTGTGCCGGCTCCTTGGCACGGCCAGTGGGAGCTGCCTCTTCGTGGCAGTGCCAAGGATGGACGAACGGTGACCCCCTCCTTGGTAGGCAGGGGGACACTGCCCACCCTCAAGGGAAGCAAGAGAGAGATGTTTCATTGGGCTCCTTCAGTGAACACCGTGGTCCCGTGTCGCCTTGCCTTGCACGGACCAAAGAGCAGCTTCAGAAGTGCAGACTGGCTGGGGTGGGAGGGTTGCCTTGGTTTTAGGTCCGTTTTTAGGGTTATCTCTGCCAAATTCCCGCCCTCTAGTTAAAGCCAGGTGGTGCCTGAGGGGAGGGGTGTGGGTAGCAAGTCAGCGCATCCCCCCCACCTCTCTCCTTGGGTGGACAGTGTCCTCTCCTCTGTGGTGGGTGCTTCCATAGTGACCCGTGCCATGGCTTTCTGTAACTCCCCCCGTCCCCTGCTTGATGTGCACGTAGAAGACGACGCCGGGATGGGGTCAGCACGACCCCCAACGCCGGTCCTTCCCCTCTCGTTGCAGAACCTGAACAACTCGCAGAAACCGTCGTGACTCCGTTGGCGCTGTCGCGAGGCCACCGGCGACGCCAGCTTCCCATCCCATCGCCACTTCCGAAGCTTGCTTATAAACCGGTCTCCTCCGTCTACGGCGAGGTCGACCCTCGGCTGTTTCTTCCCGCGCCCGTTCCTCTGCAAACCGCCCCGCTGACGAGCGGGGAGACGCGGGCGAGCAAGAGGAGCCGAGCTCCCCGGGGTCACCACCAGATCTTCAGGCTGCAGCGTTTGCTCTCCTCTCCGGCGTCCTGTTAGGTCGCAGCCAGCTGTTAAAGTGCTTCTAGCGCACGGGAGTTTAATTTTCCTCTGTTCAGCGGTTTTGATCTCCTTTTGTATAGCTGATCGGTACCCACCCGTCTCCGGGTGGGGTGTATATATGTGGATGGTGCAGGGTTAGCAGACGAATAAGGGAGGGAGGGAGCAAAGGGGTTTTGCATTTTTATTATTATTATTATTATTATTATTAATTA